AATATATATCTGGCAGGTGACGGCTTTTTCCCTTCCTTTCCTGGACGTTTTCTAGCCCCGTTAATATGCTTGGCTCTTCTGCAGGGCCTCTCTTTTGGCACATGGCAGGAAGGAGGAGGAAGAAACCCCTTGCCAGGCAGGATTTCCCAAACTTCCAAGAGCAAGGCATAGCAAGAATAATTTTTTTTTTTTTCCTTCTTTCCCCCCCTTTGGTGTATAAACATTTTTTACATCCGTGGGTTTTAATAGCTTTGGCTGCTGCTCTCAAACTCAGTGTCCCTGTTGAACGTGTTTCATGTGTGGAGGCACTAGGAGGGGAGTTTGCAAACAGACCTCTTGCAAAGAAATCGGTTTTTTGTATTGAAACAGTACACCAGGATGGCTTTCACAGTTTATGTTGTGCCGGGTGCTCGATGACTTCCAAGAGATGATGAGACTCTTGTTGCAAGCTGATGGGAAAGGGCACCAGGGACCAGGCTCTTAAACATAAAGGGATATTTCTTTTTCAATCAGTGATGTGTTCCGTTTTTTTCCCAAACACTTGCATCGTTTGTATGATTCTCCCAAGGCGCAGGTTTCTTTGTTTCCCTACGACTGTTTGTTTTTTTTTTTCTCAGCAAACCCCCTTCGGTGCATTTCCCAACCCAGAAAGAAAGCTGCAGCTCCTCCGCGGGGGGTTACGGTGACGCGCTGGGTTTAGGACAGGGCAGACACGCAGGGAGATGTCAGCTGTCATTTTGCATTATGGGGCAATTTAGAGCCAGCAGAGAAAATAAATTTTGGTGTTTTGCCGTATGATTTTAAACGCACACGAAGAAGTAATGGGATGAGACGTGTGTGTTGGGTTGGAGTATCGCTTCTCGCGTGCGCGTTAACTGCCAGAGGGTGTTGGTCGTTGCCGTGTTGGTGTTGGATCTCGCCATGGCAGAGGGCTGGAAACATTTTGCACCTTGTGTTTTTTTTTTTGTTGAAACTGACGGTGCAAAACTCAGCTGGATGCTGAGAGGAAGTGTCAGAGCAGGACGCCTTGAAATTTTGTTAAATGTAATTATGTGGGCAGCGTCTGTGAACGCTGAAGGTTCTGTTTAGTGTCACTGGGCGAGAAGAAAGTGGATTGTGACGGGGCAGTAGCTGTATGCTCGGGACAAGGGGTGTTTTTCAATGTCAGAAGTGGCTGTAAAGGCTACAAGGGGCTGTGGTTGGGGCGTAGGGGTGTGTGGGGGGGTGCTTGCGTGCCCTTTGCCCGTCCCTGTTCACTGACTGGACCATTCTCTTGCAGTGTTATTTTCGTGAATAATTTTGCCTTTGGTCCTGAGGTGGATCACCAACTGAAGGAGCGATTTGCGAACATGAAGGAAGGTAACAAATCAATTTTCTTTTTTTTGCCATTGGTTTTTTTTTTTTGCTTCGTTTGGGAGCTGATGGTAAGGGCTTAGTTCCAGCCAGCTGGGTGGGTTTCGTTCTGTGCCGGGCAGGCAAGCCTCTGTACAGCGATAGGTATTTCCTGGGCTTTTCACTTCTCTTTTGAATAAACGCTCTGACCGACCTGCTTATTCGGAGGCAGCTCTGCGGTTGAGGTCTCTGCAGAGCCCTGTTGGGGTGGAGGATCTGCTGGTCCTTTCTCACTCGTTCCAGGAGCCAACAAAACGTGCGGCTGCCCGGGCCACGTGGGCATGGCTTCGGGTGTCAGCTTCTGTAGCTGCAAACTGAACCCATTACTGGATCCTTCTGCTGAAAGTTGTCACGTTGTCACTGGATATTAAATGGAGCCACTGGATGTCTTGTGTGCTTCGTGCTTCGTGAGAGGTCGCGTTGCAGACACTAGTGACCAGGCATGCCCAGTCCCCCCAGACCCCTCTGTTGCCCAAGGTGTCTTTTTTTTTCTTAACCACTCAGATAGGTAACAATCGTATTTGGTTATGGCAGAAATTACAGAAATAAGTAACTCTGAAAAGAAAAATGTGTGGCATGAACGAAGAAGCTGTGACTTCCCATAGCACATCTTTGTGCTGAAGTAAATAATGTGACTTTTGGGCTCTTGCAAAACCATAAAACCTCCAACTTAAGCCGTTTTCTTTAATTTTAGTGGCTGATCTTTTGTTTAGTGGCAGCCTGAGAGAAGTGACAAGGTGGGGAAGGTTCAAGGGCTCTTCACAGACTCAAGAAACCCTCGTTCTCTTCCCAGAAAGGGCTCAGGCTCAGTGCCTTGGGCTGGACGACCACAAAGAGCTGTGAAATGGAGCTTAGCATTATTTTAAATAAAAGGGCTTTGGAGGCTTGCGTAGAAAAGATGCTAACTAGGAATGAGATAGTGGTGCTCTTAATTGAAATTTCTGTAGGTTGCTGCTGAGAATTAACGCGTTCTTTTTTCTGAAGTGTTCTAAGATCTGTCATTTTAAAGTGATCCTTCATGTGTCACCTCGTAGCTACTTCATAGGACTAATAAATTGACTTTCTTGAATGCTGTCAGAATGAGCTTCCCATATTTTTTTGGGGTTCGTAGTGATATACATGTGACAGTTTCATTAGAGCTGCTTTTTAGGGCTCTGTGCCGGGTTACATTGAACACGTAGTCATTTCTAGAAGAAACAGGGGTAGCTGATGTTGCCTTTTCTTTTTTTTTTTTCTTTTTCCAGGTGGGAGAATTGTGTCCTCAAAACCTTTTGCACCTCTAAATTTTAGAATTAACAGTCGAAACTTGAGTGGTATGTTTGCCCTTTTTATTGTTCCTTACAGTCATGGTGTGTGCATTATCTCAGCATGTCTGCAGTGGGGTTTTGTTGCGATTTAAGGGGGTGTGCAAGTAAGTAGAAAAAAGCTGTTGTGTTATCATAGCGTACATGCCCAAGTGACATGTTTTTAAAATCAAACAAGCAGGCAAAAACCTCACCCAACACAAAACAAACAGACGCTCTTTATGTGGGGTTCATCCTGCTTTGTTCAGATATCAATAATGGCAGCGTTTCCCTGGCTGGCACCTTTCAGGGTTGAAAGAGAAACGTTTCGAGGGAGCGATTCATTCCTTTACCTACAAAGAGCTGCAGTGACTACCTTGCCGTGCAACTTCTTACACCGCAGCTGTCGAAATTTGGACGGGTAAATCCCACCAGTCCTGGTTTGTCAGGTTTAGAAGCTGCTGCCTTCGACTCTGAATGCCGTGTCTGCTCTAAACTGATCAGACAGACCCATCCCAGAAACGCCCAGTTGCTGTGTCTGTTTTGTTGCCAGCGAAATTTTTTTTCTTTCTTTCTTTCTCTTTTGAGCAGAGCGTACTTGATCTTTGCCAATGTTGTCCTTTGCAAGCATGTGAACTGCGGTTCAGTGAGGTTTTTTGAGCTCACTAACACCCCGTGATGTTGTTGTTAGTGCTTCTGACTTTATTTTCAGTTTTTAGTGTTGAAATTTTTCAAGCGAAAGAACCATCCAAGCTGGGTTTTGCATGTATTCGTTGTGTCCAGTGCAAAACACTCCCTAACTTTAAAAAAAAAAACCCGCTTCATTCCCCTCCTTGTGCAAACATGGCAAATAACTTGCTGAGTTACAACTCTCAAGCTGTGTTTTCTGTTTTTGGCCTGACGCTCGTGGCAAACTGCTTTTCAAGAATAGTAATTTGAAGACTCTCATGAAGGCGTTGCGCTGAAATAGTGCCATTGTGAGTTATTTTTACTAAGCTGGAATTGTTGTGAATGCTCTGTGCCTGCGACACCCAGAACTGCCCTTTTCCTCCCGGCTCAATACTCTTGTGTGGCATCTGCTTGTCTGGCACCTTATTAACCACTGGGTGCTTGACAATAAAAGTAAAAAAAGGCAGGATGGCACTCCTGGAAAAAACCTGGGGAGAGCTGAGATGGGGCTCTCCGTTTGCTACTAAGACAAAGAACGCCGAAGTAAAGCCTGCTACGTCTTTTACGGTGTGCTAGAACTAGATGAAATATAAGAAGGCACTTCTGAGGTTTCAATTAAGAGCCTTGCCTACATAAATACATTTTTTTGGCCTCTCGGGCTTTTTCTTTCCTGGCTTCTGACCATTTCGTTATCTCTCTCTTTGCTACGTTTGGGAGACTGCGGTTATTAAAAATGTGGTGGGAAGGCAAAGGGGCCCATGTGCACTATTTTTTCACCTAATAAAAGCCCTGATTATGACTATCGGCTGAGCCAATTCTTTATCCCGTTTCAGCTTTTACTCCAGTGTGGATTCACTGGGGAAAAAAGCCGAAGTTTTCTATATCCTCTGTTAGTTAATGCTCGGTGGCTGGACTAGATGATCTTTTGAGGTCCCTTCCAGCCCCTAACATTCTGTGATTCTGTGAATGTCCATGTTAAAATTACAGGGAGGTAACTAATTAAGATTTGGGTGAATGAGATTGCTTCGCAGAAGAATAGATAATAGCTTCCACTAAGAGGAAGCTCTTCCAGGGATTCAGATAAGAGGTCCTGAAAAGAAATGACCTTTGTGTGCTACAGCATGGGGATAAAATTTTAGGTGTTGATCCCCATTTGTATTTGGGAAATACCGGTATCGAGTGAACACCCATGGGATGTGTGGGGCCCCGGGGCTTGTTTTGGTCTTAAGGGCCTGTTCCAAGTGAGATTTCCAGGGAAATGTCCAGCTCTTAGAGCTCCTGGAGTCAGACGTGGCCCGTATCCTCCACACAGCTTTGTGCTGCTGCCCTGAAAGGGGTTTCATAATTTATTCAGCGGCTTTTTTTTTTGGTGCCTGAGCGTGATTGGAGTCCCGTGGCTTGCCTGTCTGTCTACTGTTTTCATCTGAAGTGTGAATAGTTAAATAATTTAATAAAAAAAGGTAAAATTTTAAGAAGCTGGCAGCTTTTTTTCTCGATTCCGTTTTCGTCCTTGGTAGTTCCATCTGGAAAAAGGAATGGAAATGTGGAAAGAATTGAGACAAACCAAAACAAGTATTAAAATGTGGTTAAAATAGTGGTTGAAGTTTCTGACTCTTAAACCTTGCTTTTTGACTCTTTTAGGTAATTTTCTATTTAATTAGAATTGTGGCATAATTTCTTCTGCCAGTCGTGCCGCTCGCTCCGTGTTCAGCGGTTATGGAAATTCTTCGGCACATCCCATACCTATTAATTCTAGGGTACAAAACAAATATAAGCAAGAAAGCAAATGTGAAACATGTTTGTCCCCGGCCCAAATATAGTGCAGTTACAGCTTACAGGGGTTGGATGTGATGACGTTCTGTCACTGGTCCTGCCTAATTAAATCCTGCCTGTTGCTGCAGATGTGGTGTCGCTGGCTTCCTTGTAAAAATTGTCCCCGAGACACAAGAAAATTCCATTTTTCAAAGCTTGCACTAGCACATAATTTTACTCTAGAACAGCTGGCTCTCTCTGAAGAAATGAAAGGTAGATCTTCCAAATTTCTTGAAGTTCCTCTAGGGTGCACAGAGCAAGAGAATAATAAATCGCTGTAGAAACCCACTGCAGTGCTTTCTTTCAGGACGCTGCTATCTAAATACAAAATTTATCTTTTTTTTTTGTTGTTATTGTGTTTGGAATATGCCCCTCCTGTTGTTGCTGCTTTCAGCTGAGTGGAGCCGAGTGGCAAACCGAGCTTGTCTTGACTTTCTTCCTTGTAGATATTGGCACTATAATGAGAGTTGTGGAGCTATCACCACTGAAAGGGTCTGTGTCGTGGACCGGGAAACCAGTTTCTTACTACCTGCATACTATTGACCGAACCATAGTGAGTATCCCTCCAGGCCCGTGTGTCTCCGGCTGCTTTTCCTGCTCTGGAGTCAACACGCCGACTTCAGTTTGTTCCCGTACTGTTGGGTTTTTTGCAGTATGATTAGCCGGCTGAATATGAGCCAGCATGTGCCCAGGTGGCCAAGAAGGCCAACGGCATCCTGGCTTGTATTAGAAATTTTATGACCAGCAGAAGAAGGGAGGTGATTGTCCCCCTGTGCTCAGCACCGGTGAGGCCGCACTTTGAGTATCGTGTTCAGTTTGGGGCACCTCAGAGATCTCGAGGTGTTGGAGCGAGTGCAGAGGAGGGAACAAAGCTGGTGAAGGGCCTGGAGAACAGACCTTGTGAGGAGCGACTGAGGGAGCTGGGTCTGTTCAGTTTGACCAAGAGGAGGCTGAGGGGGGACCTCATCCTGCTCTACAATTACTTGAAAGGACATTGTAGAGAGATTGGTGCTGGTCTCTTCTCACAGGGAATTAGGGACAGAACCAGGGGGAATGGTTGCAAGTTGCAACAGGGCAGGTTTAGGCTGGACATTAGGAAGAAATTCTTCACGGAGACCCTGGAACAGACTGCCTAGGGAGGGGGTTGAGTTGTCATCCCTGGATGTGTTCAAGTGTCGTTTAGATGGGGTGTTGGGTGATCTGGTTTAGGGGTGACCTTGTAGTGTAGGGTTAATGGTTGGACTCAGTGATCCCAAGGGGCTTTTCCAACCTGAACTGTTCTGTGATTCCATGATTCTAGGATAGTAAGACACTTACTTGTAACATCTGCTGTACTCTAGTAATGCTTTTGTTAAAAAATATGCAGATACATGCTTCACTGGAGTATAAGAGTGAAGTAGCTTGATGGAAAAGATCCTTCTGCTGAGCAGAGATATGTGCCACAAAGCTTTAAAACAAGGGCAGACAGTGGGGAAGGTGATAAAACTTGGCTTGGGTTGTGTCCTGCTACCCAAATGGTCTGTGTCGCTAAAAAGAATGAATGTAAATGGCTCCTTGATGTAGCTTATCAGAAGAAAACCAGTCAAAATTTCTGCAGTTCTGCATTTGTCTTAAACTGATATTTTGTTCTTCTGCATTCATCTGTCGTGACTTTGAAAAAATGACTCTCTTTTCTATTTTCAGCTTGAAAACTATTTTTCTAGTCTCAAAAATCCAAAACTCAGGGTAAGTTTCAATCATTTTCTGTAAAAACCTCCAAATGGTGAAGCAGCCACTGTAAGGAAATTAGTCACTTGGTAAAGACGTGCAGAAGTGGTAGAAAATCAGATTTTTCTTGATAAAGAAGAAACATGGGCGTGGAGCTAATTGAAGCGAAGCTGCGTATTCCACCGAGCACTAATACAATCATGTTCAAGAGCTTTCTAACAGAGAATTAATGGGCCAGCCACAAGGTGTTCTCCTCTTGCAGTGAAGGTCTATAAAGAGCTTTTTGTTCGTTAGAGAACTGAAGTTAAAGAAGGAAATTACGGTTTGAATCTGGCCCAGCGTTCAGCTGCATGAAAATGAAGCTGGAGAGTGCTCCGAGATGTTACTTTTGAGATACGCTATTTGAGACCTGAAATGTGTTGTCGGTGCTATTGCACGTGGAATTAAAACGCCAGAGGATTTCTGAGGCTGGGCTGGGCTGGATTAATCTGAAATAACCGCCGGGGCTGGTATTCCCAGGAAGAGAATTTAAGTGAGGCCACGTAATTTAAAAGTTCAGCTCGTCTCCAGACTGACTTGCTTAGCAAGTGTCGGCAAGGGTAGCTTTGAGATTGGGTTATTTCACACTGCTGAGTTCAAACTTGGGAGAAAAAAAAGGCAAAGGACAGGGTGGCATCCCCGTGCTTTTGAACTTCCTTGCTTTTCCCGTGAGGTATTTAAATCTGCCTTTTCTAGTTGATGAGGTGTTGGAATTGCCAGAATCTTTACGCGGCTCACCTTGAAGATACAGGAAAGGCATTGAATGACCTCTGAAATTACCTGTCCTTACTGCTTAGGAGAAAATCAAGCTTAAAAGTTGCTGCTTTGGGGTTTTTTTTTTGTGTCCTCTACAGACTTGGTTAAAGTTCAGTGAGACGATCATTAATGGCTTTGCCATTTCGAGTGCCGTAAGAATTTTGAATCTTTATGCGAGTGTCGTAAGATTTTTGATGTCGCGACACATGAAATGTTGGGGTTATAGATAAAGCTGTGGAAATCCTTGAAAAACAGAAAAAAACCCCTAACCCCAAACCAGTAACCCCAGCCTGTTATCTGGGGGGTGGGGCTGGGAGAGGTGGAACAAGGGAAGATGTCGGGGCTTAATCTCTTCTTGCCCTGTGGCTGCATGTTTGCAACCCATTGTAGTAGATGACAAAGTGTGAAAGGGTGACTCTTAACCTTCCTTTTCCTACTGAGTGTTGCCTGAGGCAGGATAAGTTTTTTCCTTGCTGGTAACAAAAGGTTTTTGGGGTGGTGTTTTTTTTTTTAAATTAGACGTTGTAGGATAAGAGCACTTACACCTCTTGTGAAAGACCTGAGGTGGGAATCTGTATTAAAAAGTGATAGATAAGTGAGCACATAATTAACTTTCTTAAAACATTTATCCAGGAGGAACAAGAGGCAGCTAGACGTCGTCAACAAAGAGAAAATAAGAGCAACACAACTACTCCAACGAAGGTTCAAGAAAACAAGGTGAACATCCTGCATTTTTGTAGAGTAAATGTGTTTTCTGAGTCTGTAATTTCTGTCTGGGAGAGCCCGATTCTGTGGGAAGACTGATTGTGTTTGTTCGGAACGTGTGAGCTGCTATAGCCGTTGTTGTGGACAAAAATATGATGGAGTGATTTAATAAAAGCTGAGCTTGGAATTTGCTCTACTAATTCTGGAAAAAAAAGGTATTGGTTGTCCACCCTCGCTTACCTTCAGCACCAGCTTGCAGAGCTTTCCCTGAGTCATTACACACTGAATGGGGTTCAAAGCCGAATCTTTTCTGCAAAGACTCATTTCCTTTCTCATTCTGTTGCATAACGCTGTTAGAAATGCAGTGACTGCTCGTGACCAAAAATACAAAGTACTTTGACTATTTAATGAAATTCAGTTGAAGAATATAATCAATACAGGATGAATAATCAGCTTTTCTTAGACAACAGTTACAGATTTCCTTCTCTGTAATGAGTAAGTCCAGGAACAACTCCTTGGATGTTGGGGGGAGTTCTTATCCCAAACAAGTCTATTTCACTGGCGAGTTACTTTGCTACAGTGCATCAGTGTCATAAAATTATTAAACACAATTATTAACGCTTGCTTAAAAGGAATGCTGCCTGTGTAGCTAGAAATATCTAAAAGCTTTTGCCTTTTTAAAATCTCTTAGGATTCTGGTGCCGAAGAAGAAAAGGCTGCGGCAAATTCTGTTAAGAAGCCATCTCCCTCCAAAGCGCGGAAGAAGAAGCTAAGTAAAAAAGGAAGGAAAATGGCAGGCAGGAAACGAGGCCGTCCCAAGAAAATGAACACTGCGAACACAGAGCGCAAGACCAAGAAGAACCAAACTGCACTAGAACTTCTGCATGCTCAAACTGTTTCACAGACATCTTCATCCTCTCCTCAGGGTGAGTTTGAGGCAGACAGGAGAAGCCTCCCCCTGCCACAGGAGCCCAGATCAGTGTCTGAGGCTCTCGATACGTGCCCAGAGGTCGTCCTTCCTTTCATGCTGGCCTTCCTGTGGCTTTGTGTCCTTGCTTCTCCCTCGCCACCAAGGCAGAGCTCTGCTTGAGGTGATAGTGTGCTTCTACAACTGCCTGCAGGGAGGGGGCAGTCAGGGGGGTCGGGCTCTTCTCCCAGGACGAGAGGGCCCGGCCTGAAACTGCGTCAGGGGAGGTTGGGGTTGGGTCTCAGGCAGCCCTTCCTCCCGGAGAGGGTGCTCAGGCCCTGGGATGCTCTGCCCAGGGCAGGGAGCAGTCCCCGTCCCTGGAGGGGTGTGAGGAGAGGCTGGATGTGGCACTTGGTGCCCTGGTCTGGCCCATGTGGGGGTGTTGGGGCACGGGCTGGGCTGGATGATCTCAGAGGGCTTTGCCAGCCTCAGCAATTCTGTGATTCTGTGAGAAGATGGTGATTGAATCTGGCTGTAGGTACTTGGCCAGTGGCTGGAGCGGAGCTGTGGCTGATGACTTGTCTCTACTGCTGCTGTTCTAAGGACAAAGTGTAGATGTCCTTCCAAACTCTTTGTCCCGCTGTGCAGCTCTAGCTCAGTTACTGGATATCCTGTTGTACCTGACGTGCTTTTCCACGGCAAAGCTGCTGGACTTGCCCGAAACGCTGACTTTCGTAACCTGAAGGGTTGTCTTTGTTTCTCTAGATGCATACAAGTCACCTCATAGCCCATATTACCAACTACCTCCTAAAGTGCAACGGCATTCATCCAACCAGCTACTGGTGACACCTACCCCACCTGCACTACAGAAGCTGCTAGGTAAGCCTGGAACCTTGTCACTGTGTCTGCTTCGAGATTCTGAATGTGTGGGACGTCAAAGCCAGCCCTTGTGCAAAGCTGAGCAGTGAACAGGAGAGGGGGAGAGCCTGCCTCATCTCCCCGGCCTGCCCCGCTTTCTCTTGGCGTCACCATGAGGTCTCTTCCCTTGCTTGCTGCTGAAGTTGGTGTCTTGGGTCTGCATTTGGTTTTTGACATTGTTTCAGCTCTCGTTTGGCACGAAAGGAAATGAGCTTGGGTTTAGCAGGAATCCAAAATAACTTTAAATGGAAATGGCTAGTCAGAAATAACTTTATTTTAAATGAAACCATTCTCTTATTCTTAAACGATACAGTCTTGGGGAGACCACTCTGTTTTCTCAGCAAAACTTGGGAGCAAAGTAAATGAGACAGTGTCTGAATTTTTGGGGTCACAAAGGTGTCGTGGTTGGAAAATAGATGCCACGTGCAAGAGGTGATTTAAAGAAAAACTTGGAGGGTGTTTTTTTTTGTGTCTTCTGATTCTTTCCCCCTCAATCCCCCTGACTGTTTCTGGCCTTTGTCGCTGGGAATGAGCTGATCTAGGATCATCTGGGAACCTGATGTAACGTCCCTGTCTATGGAGAGACCAAGGGCATCTCTCACGTCCTTGAATCCTGCTCTCTTGCTGTGCTGTCTTAGTTGTGACTGATTTCTCTGCTGTGGAGAAAAAGAGTGATTTAGAGGGAAATTTCGTGTCAGAGGTTGAGAGAGTGACGCTTGTCTCGAGTACACGATGCTCCAGAAGCCTCTCTGCAGCATCTCTGACATGTTTGGGCTGCCTGGGATTGCGGCAGGCTGGGCTTCATCGCGAGGCTCCTGGCTTCTTGAGGAAAGGGCCCCGGCAGAGAGGGCGTTAACAGGAGGCTGGAGATAGGAGGACAATGAGAAGCAAGTGCTCCCTGGAGGGTAGAGAAAATGTGGGTGTAGAGCCTGTCAGCCGTGGAGCTAGGAGGAGTACAGCAAGCCCTGTCTTGTGATGCTGGGAGAATGAGTGCTCTGAGCTCGGGGCTGGTTTTGGCTGTTAGAGCTAATCTCTTTTATTATTTCTACTCACAGTGCATTAAAAGCCGTTCAGCTCCTCTTTCATCGTGCAAACACACCATTAGCACCCATCATCTTCTGCTGGGTTTTTGAATGCGTTGTCATGGCTTCAGTTGGGGCACCTCTTATGAGTAGCTAATGGATCCAAGAGTTCAGTTTGCATCACAAGATGGATTTTCAGCCTGCTCTAAATTGGTCTTTAATGGCTTAGTCTGACTTAGAGTCTGAATAAAAAGCAGGAGAGAGCGAAGGGGGGAGAGGTGTCAAGGGACCAAATAGGGGTAAATAGAGCATTGCACTTACTCTCACTTGGAATGTATTCTCTCCGTATGTATTTTGCAGACTCTTTCAAGATCCAGTACATGCAGTTCATGGCATACATGAAAACTCCTCAGTATAAAGCAAGCCTGCAACAGTTACTGGAGCAGGAAAAGGTAGGTCTCGTTTTTACCGTTTTCCGACAAATTTGCCAGGCTACCAGATAGCTTAGATGTGGAGGGAAAATGCTGGAGATAGGGACTGTGCACCCTGAACCCTGGTGCTGCACCAGCCCAGCTGCAAAGACTCTAGAGTGATGCTCAGACAGAATGACTGTACCTGGGGATTTTATCGCTAACCCTGTCAGTCTCTGTGTGCTTAAATTTCCCATCTGCAAACCAGGAGAGGTGCAGCTCCCCTCGTCCCTCTCCTGCTCCTCCAGCTGATAAGACTTCCTTCAGTGTTTCTTTTTTCCCCTCTATTTTACCCTGAAGCTGGTGTGTACCTGATGACCTGAACCCCGTCCTTTGGGACTGGCAGCTGCTTTTCTTCTCTAGATGTCTCCTGGGTCCCAGGAGCAGGAGGGGCAGTGATCATCCTCCCCAGCAGCTCCTCCTGCCTGAACACATCCCTGCCCTCCGCTTGGAGGGGCTTCCCCACACGTGTCCTGTGAGCTGCTACTCCAGCTGGTCTTAATTACGTTGTGCTTAGTCTGGCTAAAGATTGGAGCAACTTCGAATGAGGACTCTCACGAAAAACACACAAATATTAATTCATTTGGGCTGAATTTTCCGTTCTTAGACATCTATTCTTTCCCTGCTGTAGGAAAGCCTAAATGAATTGAGTATGGTAACAGTAGCGTGGCTCATTAAACTTGTAATAAATTGAAGTAGGGGATTAAAAGAACTAAACTGTCATCACTGACACAAGAGACTTAATGAAGCATCCTTAGTGTTGATAATTCTAATGCGTTAAGGTTGCACTGGGGAGCAGAGTGGGTTGAAATACATGGAAAGGTGAAGAAATTCCTGCCACTGTGAAACGCGGCGTTTTGCTCTGCTATGGAGCCATCTCCCCAGCAGAGGGAGGAGATTTACCAACTAAACTCCTTTTCTTCCTGTACTGCTTCACCTCAGTTGTGAATAATTTAATTGCTTTATCAGTTGGCCCTGATGAGAGAGACTGTCCCTGCTACATCTGTGGAGGAACCTTTGCCTACAGAGCTCACCAATGATTTTTAACTGCTGGCCAGTTCCAGCTTTTGGTAGCCCCCAGGGAAGCTTTCCTTTGCTCTGTGACTTTTGTGCAGGTGTTGGCATAAAGCCGTAGCGCTGTTTTTCCGTAGCGGGAACTCTTTTTCCCGATGAGAGAGGCAAACTTGTACCACCCTGTTTGTTTCTGAGAACTGGTCGATGCTGCTGAGGTTTTCATGCCAAGCTGGTTTTCTATGCTTGTTTCCATTGGTTTTCACAGGTCAAACAGGGCTTGGAATTTTCAGCTTTTTCTTTAAGCAGAATATTTTTCTGCTTTTTAGGTAGTTGTCAGGAAAGTCAACATGTAGTTATTCCCTTGCATGAGAAATGATAGCGTGCAAGCATAGTGCTGTACACTGAAAGTACAAATTGAGAGCATGGAAAAGCAATCCCTTTGTGTTGGTTTCTAACAGCTGTTTTGTTCTGTAAGACATTCAAATGAGGAATTCAGTATGAAAATATTTGTGTAGTGGAGTGTTGCATGGAGTGCGTGGCAAATTCAACTTCACAAAGGCAGAAGCAGAACTTTGCTGGATGAGGTGCTGTTGGATGGTGTATTTAACAACTCTCTTACATGAGGGTTTTTCAGGTGCAAGAAAAACGTTTCGGTAATACAATTTTAAAATAAACAAGATGCTGTGAGCTACTAGTTCCCCGGATTGCCCTTAGATGGAGCTGTCAGCCCCTCCACTGCTTCCAAACTAACTGATGCTGAAAGCACAGATGATTTTTTCAGCATCACCTATAAGAGGAATCTGTTTAGCATTGCGGTCACTCAAGTTTTCCCAAGCCGTTGGCAGGAGAGGCGACAAGAGCTGTTTGCCAGGTCCTGTATTTTCTTGCACATGTGGAATTTGCCAGCACTGCTGCTTCCCTGCTTGGAAGATCAAGGTGCTTTTGGCCCTTGTCCTCTGCTTTTTCTGGAGTGTTGGCTCAGTTTCCATATAATTCCTGTTTGGCCTCGGCAGGAAAAGTTGGAGAAAAGTTTAATCTCCAGAGCTCGCTCGTGTTGCCACACTCATCTTTCATTTAGGAACTGAATAAATGAGACTCTTTAGCCAGTCCTGTCCTTGCCCTTTGCTGCTCACACAGTGCATGACCATGAAGTGAGTAAAGATCTGGTTAAGGAATGTTATGGGCAGGAAATGTTCTGCAAGTGGAAGGGTCGGGTGGCCCGCTGAAGTAGTTTTGGCACTGAAAGTACAGATTTGGCTTGTTTATGACTTTCCTCCTACCACCCCCACAGTGTATTTTCATTTACTGGGTGTCTTGCATGAGCATTGTATAGGGAAACTCTGAACTGGAACTCTGGAGATTTAGATTCTGTTCCCAATTTAGTAACAGATTTCACACAGATAATCTTTCCCAGTTCCATTTCTGCTCTGTAGGATGTGATTATTACTACTTCTTTACAATGCACTATGAGGATAGAAATGGATTTTTAAGAGCGTCCTGATTATATTTTACTATATCGCAGAAAAACCTACTTAAAGCTCTTTTCAGCTTACTTAACTTCACCAAGAATTGAACACTAACAAATACAGGCTCACAGAGATCTGAGGCAGAACATGTCTCACCTCTGAGCTCAGACTCACTCCCAGTTTGCTGTAAAAACTAGATGTCCATGACTTCTTAGGATGGACTAAGCTGCAGTTGGTACTAAAAGTGTGTTTTCTCACTCTCCCTTCTTCCAGGAAAAGAATGCTCAGTTACTGGGGACAGCACAGCAGTTGTTCACCCACTGCCAGGCACAGAAAGAGGAAATCAAACGTCTTTTTCAGCAGAAACTTGATGAGGTAGCCCCGATCTGGTGGAAGTGGATGCTTGTTAGTCATCTCTGTGCAAACTTTTTTTTTTATTAAAAACAAGACCAGAGTAGTCTCAGGTCTTCAGCCTCTGTTTTGCAGCAGGACGTGCTAAGTAGTGTGGAATCGGTACCACTCTTGGCGTGTGTTTTATCTTCGTTGTTGAAATGGTTGGGTGCCACTCTGTGTCTAAGGGAGGGAGGTGACAGACCGCAGGCGCTGTGGTATTCTAGTAAAGGATCCCTGCTGGCTGGACAAACTCTGTTGCCAGTGCAAGTTGGCAAGAAGGAAACGTGGTGGCTCTCTGTGAAAACAGTGTTCTTTTGGCTGGCAAGAAACTAAATGCCAGTTTTAAAGCTGAATTGCTGGAACAGCAGCTCCACGTGAGGTGCTTTTGTCCTTCCTCATTATCCCCTAGCAATGACAAAGTGCCTCGGAGAATGCGGGGGGACTCCCCACGAGCGACATAAGCGCTGTGCATCCCCTCAGTGCCACTTCTGAATGTGACAGTCGTCTGGAATTCGGGTGTCAAGACCTTATCGAATGATCTCTTTCCTTCTCGTTCTTCGTCTTGTAGTTGGGAGTTAAAGCTCTAACGTACAACGACCTGATTCAGGCTCAGAAGGAAATCTCTGCTCACAATCAGCAACTGAAGGAACAGACGAAACAGCTGGAGAAGGACAACAGTGAACTCAGGAACCAGAGCTTACAGCTGGTGTGTACAACGCCTGGCTCTCAGTAGCGGGGCGATGCTCCCTGTCTGTAGGGAGGACAGGTTGTGAGCCAAGGGCTGCCCCTGTCTTCAGGGTACCCCGATGAATGAAAAACCGTCCAGCTGCGAGAGCTCCTCTGTAACAGAGAAGAGTGATGGGGGACAGGATGCAGGTGGTCCTTTTTCTTGGTGCCCTTTATTTACCCCCAGCCAAACGCTGATATGAGGGTTGGCTCTGGCCTCGGCTGTGCCCCCTGAACGCACCGGTGCTGTGCTCGGTGCTGAATCTGCATTGGGCTGGCCGAGCTCTTTGCCTGGTGCTTGCTCTGAGGTGGCCCCAAGTCTCGTGTTGTTCGTCTTGGTGTCTCAAACTCTTATGGCAGGTGAGGGGGAGATCTGGATGTGGGAGGGTGGGTGGCAACAGTGTTAGAAAGAACCAGGACACCTCCTGCCACGTTGGGTGGGGACCACAGGACCATTTTGATGATGTTGGGCTTAAGCTGAGAGGAGTTTTCAGTAAACTGAGAAGCTTCTTGCATTTATCCAGTCGAAAGGTGCATGGCTTTCACCTTTCACCTTGGTGGTGTGATGTGGTGGAAGTTGTCTTTTGATACGTTTAGCCTCTGTCTTTGCAGCTTAAAGCCCGCTGTGAAGAACTGAAGCTGGATTGGTCAACATTGTCACTGGAGAACTTGCTGAAAGAGAAGCAGGCATTGAAGAATCAGATTTCTGAGAAACAAAAGCACTGTTTGGAATTGCAGGTAGAGAGCAAGAAACAAATCTAGAGTGCCCAGCCTGGGGTGGCTTTTGGGCAGTGAGCCAGCTGGGGGTGTTTGACTAAATATGGTGTTAAACCATAAGCTAGGTGGCTAGGTTTTATTTTTTTTAGTTTCCCCACCCCAGAGATTAGTCTTTCTGTTTAGTAAACTCGAAGAATAAAGATGTGGATAACTTTCAAAAGGAAGTAGATGCTATGACTTGATTCCTTGGTAACGCTGTGGAAGAAGGAATCATGGTTTATCACTAAATATAGTGAAAAAGAAAGAACTTGTCTTGATTCAGCAGTCATTTCCCACAGAATGACACTTCCCATAGCGAAAAGAAATTAAACTCCTGTGTCCTGAAGAACTTTTCTTTTCCTGTAGATTAGATCTGGAGCTAATCCAGCCCTTTGCTGGATGCCTTGACATGGAGTGACTGCTTCTTTGATGACTGGCACTATTGGGTTACTCCGTACTCTCTATAAGTTAGAGGTGTTTTATGTTTCCTCTTAAGATCTGACAAGTCCTTTCTAAGAGTCTCTGAGCCCTTACCTCTGCCTTTTGGTCTCAAGCTCAGAGCAGCACATTGAAATTAGTTTCTCGGATTTTGGGTCAGTTGTTCTGCTTTGTTCCCAGAAATGGGACCACTTTTCCTGAGAAGCATGTCGAGGCAAAAACTGCCGTCACGTGATAAAATTGTTAAATGTGGTTTCTAATCTTTGTCGTCTTCTTTGTTTAAAGATCAGCATTGTGGAACTTGAGAAAAGTCAAAGGCAGCAGGAGCTCATGCAGCTCAAGTCGTACACGCCGCCTGATGAGTCGCTGTCAGTGCAGCTACGCAATAAAAACCATCTGAGCCGTGATCCCGAGGCCGATCATGGCAGGTTCCAACTTGAGCTTGAATGCTCTAAGTTTCCGATGCCCCACATCAACGGCATGAGCCCCGAACTGTCCATGAACGGCCACGCTACTCCCTACGAAATCCATAACACCTTCAGCAGGCCCTCCTCCAAGCAGAACACCCCCCAGTACACAACCTCTCACCTGGACCAAGAAATCGTGCCGTGTACCCCAAACCACAGCAGCAGACAGAAGGCAGACAAGATGACAAGCTTGTCTCTACCCGATTATACCAGGTTTTCCCCGGCTAAAATAGCACTAAGAAGACACTTGAATCAAGACCACGGAGTCAATGGAAAAGCAACAGCTAATGAAATACAGAGGTGAGAGTCGTCATTCCCTAGGACGGGAAAGGAGGGGTAATTATTTTATTAACAGTGGTTTGTCTGTGGAAGAAAGTCATTTTCAAAGTGGACATTTATATACTTTTGACAAAGTTTTATATCGAGAAAACCAGCAGGTAAATAACGTGGTGCGGCACCTCGAGTTTGGTACAGGAATTCCTTGCAGGAGAGGAGTCATTAGCTTGTGTGTTCCAACAACCGTACGTCTCTCTTCCAGAGCTGAGCACGTCAAAGAGAACGGCCTTACCTACCCGAGCCCTGGCATTTCGAACGGCATAAAGCTGAGTCCTCAGGAAACTCGGCCCTCTTCCCCAGCAGCCGTACCAGTTGCAGGCGAGAAGGTAAGAGAAGCGCAGAGATGTTCCAACTGGCAGAACAAAGGAAAAGTTGGCCGAGCTAGGGAATGCAGGGGCGTTCCTTTCTGGGGTCGACTTGGCCTGGAAAAGGATGAAAAGTTCAGTAGGTGCGATACAGCAAAAAGGAGCGGGCTAGAGGAAGAGAATACCCTGCTCGTGAAAGACATGCTTTCCTCTGAGTTACTGGTTTGCGTATGAACCGTGCCAATCATGCAGTAGAAACTTCTTTTTGATCTGTCTGCTTGAACTTGAAAAGTAGACTCTTTCGTAGTTAAAAAAAATAAATGCAACACAAAATTGTCCACATAATTGGTCCAACCATGAGTCATGTTGGTGCTTGTTTCAGAGCAAGCAGATGCCCTCCAACGGGAGGTTACCATGGAAATATTTCTGGCTACTGCATCTTCTGCATACAGGGGGCCTCAAGATAAGCACTCGTCTGACAGAATTCATTTCACAGAGCTCTAACAAAGGCACTAGGAAATGAGCTTGCCAGAGGCGCCTTTTGCTTTATGCTTGGGGCCAGCGATAGCTTTAATTCACGTTATTTCTGTGCTGGTGGGTATTGCTGTCCCAGTAGACTGGTGTGATAACAAAGCTGCTCCGTGCCTGCCTTGCCTTTGCTGTGTAGTCATCACTCTTAATCGCGTAATTTATAAACAAAAAAGAAAAAGGGAGAGTGGCCAAAATCTAAATGAGCAGGTTATTGTTAGTTTAAAAAGTCTTCTCAGTAACAGAATGCGATTAAGAACACGACTTTCTCTTTTGCATTTACAGGTTTTGAGAGAGAGAACCTCTGTGAGTAATGGAGAAACTATCACCAGCCTCCCTATCAGTATTCCTCTCAGCACAGTGCAGCCCAATAAACTCCCTGTTAGTATCCCTCTGGCCAGCGTAGTCCTACCTAGCCGTGTTGAGAAGGTGGTGAGTAAGGGATTGTCAACACTTTCCATCCCTAACGAAAATCACAGCGGGCAGTAACGGGGTGCGGCACACCAGGATCCTTAGCGGGCTGCTAATCGTGAATGTCTCGTCTTCGGGGGAGGCTGCTGCTGGGTGCATCCTTCTTGGCTCTTGGGTGTTCCGTAGATGTTTCCTCTCAGGTTGGTGGGGTGGTGGTATCTCAGCCAGGAACTAAAGTAAAGTACGGGCATCAAGAGATCCTAGTTGTAAATGCCTGGGTGGAAAAGGTGTGTAGCTGGAGAGGTTGTGGTTGTGAAAGCAGAGGATCACACATGTCACTTTGTCACTTTATTCTTATTCCCTGTCTTCTTTTGCATGACCCTGGGAGACAAATTGTTCCACCTCAGGCTTGCTCATCTCAAAATTGTCTGTCTTTATCACATATGGGTGTGGGGAGGACTTGAACGGTCCTTGAGGCTGTAAAACCAGTGAGTGACTGGTCAGTGGCAGCAGAGAGCAACTAGAGTTGCCATCTCTTTCTGAAATCCTGCAAAGTCCTTGTCGCTCTCAGTGGCAGAGGAGTTGAAAAAAGCCCGGCCTGGTTTCTCACAAATGTTTGTAATGTTGCAGCAGGGAACTGAGAAGCCTTTGCTGCTTTCACATGAGAGCTGTGAATTTAGAATCCATCCTCAGACACTCGCCTTACAATCCCACGTTTGGAAAGCTGGAGTTGTTTCATAGTATTGAATCCACTCTGTTTTTTTCCAGCTGCAGACTTTTAGTTATAGCACAACTGCAGTCGGCCCAGCTCCAAGCAGAAGTTGTGTGTCCTCAGAGAGAGGGAGCGTTAGCTCTGGATGGCATCCCTCCCTTCAGCACTTTGTTTATTCAGGCCACCACGTCCCAGTTGTTTTGCCTCCTTTAGGAAAACACCCCTTGTTGGTTGTACCCTCACGGAGCGTACCAGAGAACAGAGCCTAATGCCTTTCACATTCAATTTGGGGTTGTTTTGGGCAACTTTGTGTTTGCACAGGCTTAGGGTTGCAATGCAACAATTTGTTCCCTCTCCGGCTGCCTGTGAAACAGTGGACTGAGGCATTTGCTCTCTGCAGTGCCGCCCTGAGTCTAAACTTTCTGGGCGGATGAGCCAGTTCTCCCTCTGTCTGCATCTCATTGCAGTGTAATTAATCATGGCATTTATTTTTATCCCGTACCACGCTGATCTACGTTTTGTCTCGGAACAAGCCCCATCTAGGACATTTAGGAATTAGAGCCACTTTCCTTGGTAGATCTCCTAATGCATGTGCATCTTGTTTAAACTGTTGACTTCTGAGTACGCTTCCTAAAATGCCTGTTTCTCTCCTCCCCCAGAGAAGCACACCTAGCCCAGTTCACCAGAGTAGAGACTCGTCAACACTTGAAAAGCAGATTGGTGCTAGTTCTCATAATGGCGTAAGCAATGCTGCTGGAAACAAGCCACTGGCTTTGGCTACCTCAGGTAACAGCCTCACCGGCGTGACGGCGCGCTCTCCTGTCGCGACAGCACCCCCGAGCTTCTTTTTGGGTGGTTCAGGCAGCAGGGTGCTAGATAAATGTGTGTTTTGTAACGAGAGCAAAGAAATCCTTTGGATGATGATGTTTTGAGACACTCTGTGCCTCCAGCTTGGACGCCTTCTGGCGTAAAGTTTCAGTTTGAGGTGCCTTTGCCTGAACTGTAGCGCCTTGCAGTGTAAATAAATAGCTGCTTTTGTAAATTCTTCTGTGTGGATTGAAAGATTCCTACCTTCCCAATGTGGCAAACCAGCAAAGTGTTGCTGGGAGCTGATGATCTGGCTTGAAAAGGTTTATTTTACAGAGTAGGGGAGTATTTTTAATAGCAGATTCAGTCTCCTGCTGCAGGTCACAGCGGTGCCTCATGAGCACTTGTAAAGGCACAAGTGTCTGGGTAGGAAGAAAGGTCCAACGGGAGAGGGCAGGGATATCTTTAAGTGCAGGTGTTGCTTCTGAACTCTCTCGTCTGTTGAAATTGTGGCCTTCAGCTGTCAGGGTATGAAAATGTCGTGGACGAGGAAAAGTGGGCTCTAGTGTACAGAAGCTGTTCTACAGCTGATCCCTCATCAGAGAGTGCATTTATTGCTAATGCTTACCACCTCGAGGGGCTGGTGTTGTTTCTAGCATCTGTTTTGCAAAGAAGGGCTTGGCTGCAGTTTTATATAAAACCACCAAAGTTGTTTTTTTTTTTAAAAAATTGGCTTTTTGTAACACAAGACTGTGTTCCCTTCTACCCCTTTCATTTAGACAGCCCAGAGACAAGGTCTTACTAGAGCTCTAAACCCATTTATGATACACCATGACGAATACTTCATTCCCGTTCCAAGCTTCCTCCCACGTGGCATTCCTCTGCCGGAGTTTCTTCGATGATCCTTTGACGATCATTTCCTTACCCACAGCCTCAGCCTTTGGTTTAATCTGGAGAAGGAGCTGTGCTGTAGGGATGACTGAGTCCCTTCTTTTTTGGGGGGAAGGAAGTGGGCTGAATTTGGCCATCTCTTTCCTTGACGATAAGGAGTTGAGAGTAGAGGAGCCCTCGTTTCAAAGGGTTTAACAGTTCAAAAGAAACTTACTCTGGAATTACATTTAAAAAAGCGGGTAGAGGATAGGATATCTCCCTATAACACGTGAATTTTCCTGGCGAAGTGCAGCAAAAATTGCTGCCCCCTAACTGAACGAGTCGGCACGCGGAGCCACGTTCTCAGCTGTGCTGTGTAAAAAGAAAACACCCGGCTGGCCTAACGCAGGGAGAGCCGAAACCGCCGCCAGGCACCCCAGAACTCTAGCACTGTGACCTCTCGCTCAGCAGAAGCAATGATGTATAACTTTCCCTTCCAACAGGTTTTTCTTACTCTTCTGGCTCCGTGGCGGTCAATGGAAATCTTACAAACAGCCCAGCCCATCTTAACCATAGTGTTGATCAGGCAGCTCTGGACGACTCTGGGAGTCTCTTTAACTCAGTAGGGTCTCGGAGTTCCACTCCACAACATCCTTTGCTAATGATGCAGTCAAGGACCTCTGGGCAAAACTCCCCTGCTCACCAGCACTCAGCAAGCCCCAGGTTAAATGGCACGTCCCAGAGCCTGGTAGGGGTATTGCAGTATGCAGATGCTCAGAAGATGTTTGCCGAAGGAACAAAGGGGGATCTTCAGTCTGATGCAGCGTTTTCAGATCCTGAGAACGAGGCCAAGAGAAGAATCATCTTTACGATCTCTCCTAATACAGGACATGTAAAACAATCCCCTTCCAACAAGCACAGTCCTCTGCCCGCGAGCGCTCGGCTGGACTGTGGCCAAGCACACGCGCAGGATGGGAAGAAGCGAGGCCGGCGGAAGAGATCCTCTACTGGGAATCTCAGCGGGAACTCCGGGGTCTCCCCGAAACGCAAATCCTTACCTACTGTGTCTGGACTCTTTACGCAACCGTCGGGTTCGCCGCTCAATATCAACTCCATGGTAAGGGCAAAAGGGAAGAGAGGGCAGGGCCTGGGAAAGCTCTTTGAATTAGAAATAAGCTTCAGCTGCTCTATTCTTTAGCGTTCTCACAGGCTGTTAAAAGCCCTAGGAGCTAGAGCTGGCATGAAGGTCCGTTGAGAAAGTGAGAGACAATAGAAGTGCTGAAAAGTTGAACTATTTCAGAGTTGAACATCTTCAGAGAGTTCTTTACTGTGTCAGAGCATTAAAATTTTTTAAAAAATCATCTCTTCCCTTATGACAAAGAGCTTGTTGCTGCAGTGAAGTTGATTTTTAGGTGGTAGGTTAAATATTTTGGAAATATTTTAGACTAAGATGGGCTAAACAGCATGAGAGTGCCAGAAGCATATGGCATTCATGGGTAATTAAGATGGCTCAACGAG